GATCGGGTCGGGTCGGGTTGGGAAATGATGGCTGTGGTCAGTGCACGCTACTAGGTAAAAGTGTACACTATTCTAATGACAGAGTGAAGTGGAGGTTCATGATCGCCCTCGCCAGTCGGCAAGGCACCGGATGATGATGATTCTATCATAGTGTTCATTGAAGGCACATGAAACACGTCTCTGCTTTTTTTAAAAAAATCAAATTTCACCAAGAAGCTCATAAAGACTTATAGTTGGTGCACACTCCTAATCGAATCCAGTCGAACCGAGTCAGGGCCTGCCAGATTTTCCCCCATGGACAAGCAAAAACTCCAACTTTGGCACTTGTTGATCAAATCTCCATCCCAAAATGAAACATGGTTGTTTTTGGAGGATTCAATCGAATTGTGCCAAAATGACAGCTTTTATCCCTCCGTGAAAGAAAATCCTGGCCGGCCCCCGACTGTATCAAATGTATTAGATAATGGATCCAATAAATCAAAATAATAAATCCAATAAATCAAAATAAGGGATCAAATATATCAAAGTAAAGGATCAAATAAATCAAAATAGTGGATCAAATAAATCAAAATAGTGGATCAAATAATGGATCAAATAAATCAAAATAGTGGTTCAAATAAATAAAAATAATGGATCAAATAAATCAAAATAGTGGATCAAATAATGGATCAAATAAATCAAAATAATGGATGAAATAAATCACTGGGTTTGAGATCGGATGGTATCGGGTCAGGTCGGGAAATGTCGCAAATCAGTGCTCATTGTAAGCCAATCAAACAGACATCTCTACTTTGCTTTATCAGATTCCGCACAGAAGTACCTTAGGACATATTATTATTTTACTCCGCGCGCCAATGAAGCATCAGACGACACGATGACGTCATGTGACACGTGATAAGATTCTGACCTGGTGGTGGACACGACTGTCTTCACACTGGACCCCAGCATGACCTAGAAAGTCAAACATGTTTGGTTGTGGGATTGGTTTGTTTCGGTTTTTTATGTGTTTTTTTTAGTTTTTTAAAGTTGGGTTTTTTTTCAATCAGATTGTGCCCAAATGTTAGCATTTGCCCCTCTATGAAGGTAAGTGGGTGGTTGGCGGGCGCTCTGGTGTGGTTTGCTTTTTCTTTCCTTTAAAACTTATATCTCCCCTCCTTCTTTTTTGTGTTTGTTACTCTCTTGTAACACCTCTAATCTTCGGCACTTATATATATGACCTTATTGTGTTGCAAGTGCCGTAAAACTCTTACTAAAACTAAAACTAAAACTGAAAGTAAGTGAGGCAGCCTTTAAGTGTACCAAACTTTAACTTAATAAAGATTTGAGGAAAATCTGCGCAGAGTGCAGTGGGTACAACCCAATACATTTTCTCCCCCACATAAGCCAGTGTTTCATCAGACACGGTGTGGCCAGCTGCGAGACATTTTTCCATTTTCCGTTCTTCTAGACGAGAACGCTCCACTGTCATTCGGTCCTTTCTTTCGTGTTGCTGTATCAAATCTGTGTTGTAAAATGTTGGAATAGGGTACTGGGTAACCAAGTAAAACCCACTGTTTGATCAGCATGTCTTAGCTCACTCAGAGACGAGTGATAGGTGGGTGGTTGGCGGGTGCTCTGGTGTGATTTGCTCCTTCTTTCCTATAAAAAAAACAACTATCGCCCTTCTCTCTCGTCCTTTTTTTGTGTGTTTGTTACTCTCTTGTAACATCTCTAATCTTTGGCACTTATAATA